CAGTGTAAACATCCGTGTAAACATCAGTGTAGACATCAGTGTAGACATCGGTGTAGACATCAGTGTAATATATAGATTTCGCGCCATTTTCAATCATTTAAAATTAATACATGAGTGGGCTCGTCACATTCTAAACGGAAAAAATATTGTGTCAGACAGTGGACGGAGGGACAAATACAACACATGTGGTTTGTTTATATCATTATTCGGAAAGAACGGTGCTGGATTAAAAGCAGTAGTTTTAAGAGGGGGGATTGACTAGGCTAGGCTAGCAATCGTCGCTGATTTAAGTACAACAGATAAGATGTCGCTAAGTGGGTTAGCTTATCAACCATATCAATACCAAAGACATAATCCAAGATTGCAATCCACCTGTTATCGTAAGTCGGACACAAAATGTATAAGAAGGCGACATTTTGATCTGATGGTGCACTAGCGCAAGGGTATGTTATATCGCTAGGATCGTAAACTCGTATACTTTGTCATTTTTCGCCAGCTAGTCGTAGATAATGTTTTTTTTTTGTTGTTGTTGTTGTTTATTTGTCAAGTTATGCCAGATTCCAGTTGTGTTTTTATTGTTCTAAATAAAGCACTTCCGATTGAGCTCGTTTTGAAAATGAAACATTACCTACAATGGCTCTCGTCGAAAGCAATCATCAGGTAATTAATATATATATAATAATCCCAGGGACCAATTAGATTTTGCATACTAAATATCACGTTAAAATAACGTTTCATCAGATTATAATAAAAAAAAATGTTTTAAAATCGAATACAGCTAACAACAGCGAGGGCCCCATTACTTGGCGTCTGCCCGTTTACATTTACTTTCACGGTTTAAGTCATTACTAAAGATAACAGGTTAATAAGCCTATTTAACCCTGTTTTATTAGCATTGATATCATATGATTACCTTAAAGAAGATAAGTTTTCATTTAAAATGAATTGTAATTTTCCATTTACGTAGTGAAAGTACAATGGTGAAACATATTGGCTTTTTAACATTTTTAAGCATTATTTTAAGCTCTATCTATGCTGAAGGTTTGTTTTGTATACTGTGCTGTACTACAAAAATAAGGAGGCTACGTAAGTGAGCGAAATTGTGTTCCCGCTCGTCTTGCAACCAGGAAGTAAACACCGTGCTCATACCTGATCACGTACTTATACATTATGGAGCATTTGTACATCTCACCATGTAGGACAATCTTTCTCGTTTTAAAACGAATAGATTAGAAACTAATTTAAAAACGCACTGAAAATGTGCAACATCACGTACCACCACTCTATTGCTCTCAGCCCGGAGTTAAAATTGTTTAGACATAAAAACATTTTCTTCGTCTGATAAATCCGTTGTTTATTCTCCGTTTATTGTTGATGTACATTGTTGATATTGTAAGATATTTGAACATTTTATGATGCCATAGTCCATTTTGCATTTACATCACTGAATGATGGCGGTGCACATACCTGGTGAATAATTAAACAAATATTCCATTCACACAACAAAAGAGTTCTGACAGACCCGCGACGTAAAAAAAATACTCTCATCAAAAGAAAAAATCTGACTAACACAGCAAAAGAAAAATCTATTATCCAATAATTTTCAACTTTTACCCGAAAGCTAGTTTTCTCTCCCTCTCAGAATAACCAAAAACAGTAGCATTCAATGGATCATTTTCAGACATTCATAAAAAATACTTTCATTAAACCATTATTCATGTGTAATTGGATATAGACAACTTGAGTTATGTGCTCTATGTCAAGAAAGCAGTAAAACCATAGAACCTCTTTTTTACACTTCTCCAGTAACACTGGCAGGACATACGCTGATGGATACACTTGAAAACTAACCAGCCTTTTGAAATTAAAGAAGATATTACTTTATTGGGCCAAACTTCTGATTTTCAAAAATTTATTCCAGCTAACACCATTCTGATTCATGCTCAGTTTTTATATACTTTAGTTCAAGACAGAAAACAAAATTCAAGTTTAATTGAATTGAACATGGTCATTATCGTCACGTATTATTTTAAAATATCAGATAGAGGAAAAAATAAACATAAGAATTGATAATATCATATTGAATCCACTATGGATACATGTATATAAGTTGTATATGTATGTATACATAGATGTATAAAAATCTGACACCAATAAATATCTTCCAATTCCGTCATACATCGTATATAACATGTTGTAACTACATGTATGTGTATCTGTATAATATGTTGGTTTATATAGTTTGAATTATGTATGTACATACGCATGTTCCGCGTGACAAGTTTTTGTTATCGATGATTTCCAAAATACTACAGAACTTCTGTAGGAGATAAATTCAATTTCAAAATGATGGAAGGTATAAGGAGATTTCTATCAACAAAGAACTAACCAGACAGGAAAGGCAGAAAGATTCAGAACTAAGAGGGGATACATATATGGAGTAAGAGGTCCCCCTTGGGACAGGAAAGGCAGAAAGATTCAGAACTAAGAGGGGATACATATATGGAGTAAGAGGTCCCCCTTGGGACGGGAAAGGCAGAAAGATTCAGAACTAAGAGGGGATACATATATGGAGTAAGAGGTCCCCCTTGGGACAGGAAAGGCAGAAAGATTCAGAACTAAGAGGGGATACATATATGGAGTAAGAGGTCCCCCTTGGGACAGGAAAGGCAGAAAGATTCAGAACTAAGAGGGGATACATATATGGAGTAAGAGGTCCCCCTTGGGACAGGAAAGGCAGAAAGATTCAGAACTAAGAGGGGATACATATATGGAGTAAGAGGTCCCCCTTGGGACAGGAAAGGCAGAAAGATTCAGAACTAAGAGGGGATACATATATGGAGTAAGAGGTCCCCCTTGGGACAGGAAAGGCAGAAAGATTCAGAACTAAGAGGGGATACATATATGGAGTAAGAGGTCCCCCTTGGGACAGGAAAGGCAGAAAGATTCAGAACTAAGAGGGGATACATATATGGAGTAAGAGGTCCCCCTTGGGACAGGAAAGTAAGAAGATTCCGAAAAAAGAAATAAATCTAAAGGACAATGTCAACAAACAGCAAAAATACACACAAAAAAGCATCAAGAAAGTACCAACATAGCAACATAGTCATATTCAAACTCCAATTCCACAAACTAGGGTAAATATATAAACAAAAGAAAGATGTTCAAGGAGATTCCTGAAAAACAACAAAGAGTAAACGTCTTCTACTTCATCATGTGTGTGGAAGGGGGTAGTGGTTGTGGGTGAGGGTATATGGTGGTGTGGGTGTGTGTGTGAGGTTTGGACGTGACGGTGGGGTGTATGTGTGGAAGGGAGTAGTGGTTGTGGGTGAGGGTATATATGTGTGGAAGGGGGTGGCGGTTTTGGGTTAGGTATGTGGGTGTGATGGTATTTGTGTGTATATGTGTGGAAGGGGGTGGTGGCTTTGGGTGATGCATGTGGGTGTGATGGTGTTTGTGTGTATATGTGTGGAAGGGGGTGGTGGTTTTGGGTGAGGTATTTGGGTATGTGTGGGTGTGATGGTGTTTGTGTGTTTATGTGTGGAAGGGAGTGGTGGTTGTCAGTAAGGGTATGCACGTTTGTGTGTGGGTGGGTTGGAGTGAGAGTGTGTAGTGGTGTGCTGTCTTTATATAGGATTTGCATAGTGTTGTGACACCTATAAGCCCTAGTGGGTAGTTAATAGTTTTTAGAGTTATCGCCCTTGGCAGGTTCTCGGACGAACTGTAAACCGAAAGCACGGTACTATACATTTCACCAAGTTTCACACTCATGGAGATCCACACAGTGTAAGTGATACAAATAATAACATTCTGGGATTTTATACGAGTGTATAGATACTTGATGTCGACCATATATTTGTCTGGATTCACCTGGAGTTTATCCTATATCGAAAAATTTGTATTGGACATTCCGTCCCATTTCAATCGAAATCAGATTTGTGTTTAACTCAAAACATCTGTATGGCCTATCGTAGGTTAGTTTACTGCAAATTACTGCATCATGTAATGTATTAAATACCTTGTTGTTTTTATGAAATTACAGGAGTGTAATTGTGGAATTTGAGATTCCAACGTTAATTGTCTCCACAACGAGAACACGTCGTTGTTCTAATTTTATTGTGAGAAATACCATGGTATTCATTATCATTTGGTGTCTTGCAGTCCGTCTGTCATGACAGTACAAGTATAGTTAGTCTTTATGTATAACATTGAATTTGAAACATTTTGGTTAAATTTTCACGTCTGATCAAAGTACTGAGAGTACTGAAATCCCCATTTTGTACTCAGTCATTTGAATATCTGTTATTTTGTATTTCCAGCTTTTACTATATGTAAGTTTACATATGAAAAGGATTTCTTGGAATATCTAGTAAAGTCTTATCTGTTACGGAGAGATTTGGTTTTGTGTGTAACAGAACAAGTGGTGTGTGTGTGTGTGTGTGTGTGTGTGTGGATGTAGGTGAGGGTGTGTGGGTGTGATGGTGTTTGTGTGTAAGTGTGTGGAAGGGAGTGGTGGTTGTCAGTGAGAGTGTACATGTTTATGTGTATGAAGGTATTCATTGGTAATAAAAAAGAGTGATACAGGTGTGGGTAAAAGAGGGATACATAGTGTTTTAAAATGTATTAACAGAAGGCTATAAGTATATTTATAAAGAAAGGTCTTATTTATTTCGCTAAAATTGTTTAAAGCGATTTCAAACGCAGTAAGACATGATATCTTAAAAAGATGTTTGTTCTTTACAAAGTATATTAGTATATAAGATTCCATGCTACGTATATGACGTGATTTTGGCGACATGTTGATCTACGTTTCATCAAAGCTTTGGTCTGTACCGCATATAACATACATTAAAGTTAAACGTTCAGATGATTTTCAGGAGGCTAGTGAATAAACATATAAACTGTTGATAAATATAACTGTTGATAAATATAACTAGTGAACGGTCGTCAGGTTACATTCAATTTGACAGATAAATGATTATCACATGGTATGTCATTTTATCTGTCATCCACATGGCATTTATATTGACAATAAATACAATCTGACGACCGTCCATAGGTTAAATGAAATAAAATTATTTACGTGTCAAGAAGCACATGTATGTGTTGTTAAATAAAGCAGAATTAATTGCCAGACTTTACAAATAGTCAGAGATTTATGTCCTTTTGTTAGAAAAATCCTTATATCTCATAATTTCATTTTCTAACTCGCCGAATAATTTACCTCGAGACCGACGAACATCAAAGTAATGATTTTCTCGGCAGTACATTACAACAAAATCATTCATTTGAAAATGTTTTGCGTCTAGGTCTTCTAACAACACAACGATTAGATTGTTAAATCGATTCTGAATTCCTTCAGTGACAGCAACCTCAAATTCGAAAAGACGATGAAACGACAGCATGTAGTCGTTATCTATAAAAGCCACTACACAGGCACTGTTGTTCATGGCATGAACTATGCCTGTTGTTTCCTTCAATCGGTCATCCCAATGTAACTCCGGTATGCACATAGAAACGCCTTTGTTTTTCATGTGAGCCTCGAAACGCTTAACAAATTCATTGACTGACTGAGAAGGTTCTACAGAAACATACACTGTGAATTTTAATTGTTCTTCATTTGTTGCGGCATCCTTAATATTGTTTCCTAATGGAACAATATGTTTCCTTCCCACACTGAAGAGGTACATTAGGCGAGACTTTTTATAGTAGATCAGTGATGAAAACGCAAGAATAAAACACAGTCCGCAGAACAGAAACACACAAATGAGAACTACTTCCATTGCTATGCAGTCTATTTCCATTTGTCCTGTCATGTCACCCAACGCAGCAAGATAAACAATATTACCATTGCTAGCTTTACACGTGTATCTCTTCAAGTTCCGGAACAGGAATTTTCTTACCTTCATCCACCGGAGTTGTTGTAACTGGTCACACGTGCATAGTAAAGGATTTCCGGTCAAGTCGATAGTGAAGTTTGACAACTTTACCAAATAATCCATCTCATCCATATTGATACGCGTTAGGTGTGTTATTGTATTATTTGAAAGATTGATCTCTCTTATATTTTCTAACGATTTCATTCGGAAACTTATGACAGGCAAAAAGTTTTGCTGGAGATCTAGTTGTTTCAGATTTATTTGTTTGGCAAAGACAAATTCTGGTAGATCGGTAAAACCATTATCACTCAAATTAAGATAAGTTAGCTTTGTCTGGTTGGAAAAAGTGAGAAACTGCTTGTCTTGCATGATAGTAAGACCGAGTCTGTTCCCGTTCAGAAGGAGAGTATGCAAATTAGCCATGTCACCGAATGTGTCTGGAGCCAATCGGAACATAGCATTAAAGGAAAGATTAAAAAATCTCAAGGAATGTAAACCTGACCATTTCCCATACCAGGCATGGATTCCATTTGACGACAGATCAAGAAATTCCACCGAGTTGTTTGAATCAAATGTGAAAGCCGGAACAGTCAAAGGACTGAGCTTAAGATGACTTCCGAAGACTTTCCGCATACTCACAGGTAAATTGATCACATCATTCCTTTTGTTATTCTGAGGATGTAAAGAAAAGTTCTGATATTGTCTGGTGTTTGTCGCAGTTTGTCGTGAATGCGAAATATCCCATTTTGTGGTAAGAAAAGACGTTTTAGAAATAGCATACTTGCGGACTTGCTTTGCACTTTCTTTTCTCCCGGTTGGACTTGGTGAAGGAGATACGTGAAGGTATCGTTTGTTGTTCCCTTGTCCAGCTGCTGAGGAATATTCCAGTTGGTAGCTTATATCTAACACCACGAGATTTTCCAGGCGAGGTATACTAGTCATAAAGCGTGCGTCAGTCAGTATATTGTCCTTAACAGAGAAGTATTCTAACGACATTGGAAGGAGGTCTATCACGCCATTTTCAATTTTTGTGATTTTATTGGTATGTAAAGTCAAGTTTTTAATTTTTGTCGTATTAAAATAAACGAAATCGTCTGCATTAAGCGTCCAAGGATCACTGTGTCTATTGATTGCATTTAGGTGCAGAACCTGAATATTTGTTAGGTCTAATCCAAAGCTTGCGTTCTTCATACCACCGAAAGCCATATGGTGGTTTTCAGACAAATCTAATTCAGACAAGTGTTTAAGCATTGAAAACGTTCCTGGTGCTATGCGATATATAAAGCAACTTACTAACTTCATTACAGACAATAAAGACTTGTCCAGGCTACTGAATGTTGTATTGAAAAGGTCGTTCAACACACAGAAACTGTCATCATGCTTGGCCGACATATCTAGGACAGTCAAATGTTTTAGTTTCCGGAACCCATCTCCAAATATGCTAGCTGGTAATCCATCCATGGCCAGCACTTCCAGGAACTCGAGATCAGAAAGTGCCACATCCGGGTAATTCTGACCCATGGTCGATTGTTTGATGTTTCCGTGGATATTAAGAACTTTCAAATTTTTAAGAAATCGGAATATTCCCGGAGAATACACTTCTGTTGTCATCTTGAGACTGTTATAGCTCATATTAAGATTTATCAACGACTGAAGTCCCTCAAAGCAGGAGTTTTCCAAAACTGTTATTTGGTTGTGCGATACGTCAAGTGTCTGGAGATCCGGTAGGTTTCTAAATGTCCCATTGTGAAGCACCGCTAACTTATTGTTGGCAAGAGACAGGCGTATTAAGGAAGAAGGGAAACTAAATTTGGAAGGGATTTTTTTCCAGTTAAGATTTGAACAATCCAACACTTCAATTCTCTTTCCTTTGTCAGTACATGTGCAAGGAAATGGACAGACATCTAACTCTCCTCTGGCTAGGCAGACCATGGTTAGGAAAATGGCGGCCAGCATATATGGAATTAAACGACAAGACATACTGATCAGCGTATCTGGAGTGGTAAAAAACCTGAAAATATAATACAAAAACAAGTGAATAACTGTCATATCTTTGTTTATTTTGATGTGATTTTACGAAAAAAAAACCAAAAATTATGAGCAAATCTGATATGATGATGGACTTATTATACAACGACATCATGAGAACTCTTCATTTATCAATACATTTATTACAACAGGAAGTGCGTCACAGCAAATATTATATACCGTCATCTGGTCACGGGCATGTTACCTGGTAAACATAATAAAATCACGGAACACAACTTACCGGAAGATGTATAGTGTTTCTCAAAAAGAAATGTCTACGATTAATTGTTTCCCGGTAATTACATTAAATTCAATTAACTAGTTTTATTTATTTTTTACATCGATTTCAATTACATACTCAGCTTATATATAATACAGTATTTCAATACAGCATACATATAATACAGTATTTCAATACAGTATACATATAATACAGTATTTCAATACAGCATACATACATATAATACAGTATTTCAATACAGCATACATATAATACAGTATTTCAATACAGTATACATATAATACAGTATTTCAATACAGCATACATACATATAATACAGTATTTCAATACAGTATACATATAATACAGTATTTCAATACAGCATACATACATATAATACAGTATTTCAATACAGCATACATATAATACAGTATTTCAATACAGCATACATATAATACAGTATTTCAATACAGCATACATATAATACAGTATTTCAATACAGCATACATATAATACAGTATTTCAATACAGTATACATATAATACAGTATTTAAATACAGCATACATACATATAATACAGTATTTCAATACAGCATACATATAATACAGTATTTCAATACAGCATACATACATATAATACAGTATTTCAATACAGCATACATATAATACAGTATTTCAATACAGCATACATATAATACAGTATTTCAATACAGTATACATATAATACAGTATTTCAATACAGCATACATACATATAATACAGTATTTCAATACAGTATACATATAATACAGTATTTCAATACAGCATACATACATATAATACAGTATTTCAATACAGCATACATATAATACAGTATTTCAATACAGCATACATATAATACAGTATTTCACTACAGCATACATACATATAATACAGTATTTCAATACAGCATACATATAATACAGTATTTCAATACAGCATACATATAATACAGTATTTCAATACAGCATACATATAATACAGTATTTCAATACAGCATACATATAATACAGTATTTCAATACAGCATACATATAATACAGTATTTCAATACAGCATACATACATATAATACAGTATTTCAATACAGCATACATACATATAATACAGTATTTCAATACAGCATACATATAATACAGTATTTCAATACAGCATACATATAATACAGTATTTCAATACAGCATACATACATATAATACAGTATTTGTCGAAGCATCAGTTAGACCTCTAAGTGATTCCAGGTCAGAAATACTAAATCGGACGCCACATGTTTTACATGTAGTTAGGAGATACAGGAAGTGATTGGAATCGGTTAAGTGGTTAGTGGACCGTCAAGCTAACGTTAGGAACCGAATCCATGATTAATCAGACTTGGCATGAAGCTTCATTGAATTATAATTATCATTCTTGTTATCGTGGTTTCAGCAAGCTATATGACATCTTCGATACTCCGTGGGTTACGCTCACTATCGCTCTCTACACACCCCTGGAACCATCATCGATACTCCGGGGGTTACGCTCACTATCGCTCTCTACACACCCCTGGAACCACCCTCGATACTCCGGTGTTACGCATACGATCGATCTCTACACACCCCTGGAACCATCCTCGATACTCCGGGGGTTACGCTCACTATCGCTCTCTGCACCCCTGGAACCATCCTCGATACTCCGGGGGTTACGCTCACTATCGCTCTCTACACACCCCTGGAACCATCCTCGATACTCCGGGGGTTACGCTCACTATCGCTCTCTGCACCCCTGGAACCATCCTCGATACTCCGGGGGTTACGCTCACTATCGCTCTCTACACACCCCTGGAACCATCCTCGATACTCCGGGGGTTACGCTCACTATCGCTCTCTGCACCCCTGGAACCATCCTCGATACTCCGGGGGTTACGCTCACTATCGCTCTCTACACACCCCTAGAACCATCCTCGATACTCCGGGGGTTACGCTCACTATCGCTCTCTACACACCCCTGGAACCATCCTCGATACTCCGGGGGTTACGCTCACTATCGCTCTCTACACACCCCTAGAACCATCCTCGATACTCCGTGGTTACGCTCACTATCGCTCTCTGCACCCCTGGAACCATCATCGATACTCCGGGGGTTACGCTCACTATCGCTCTCTGCAACCCTTGAATATTTCATGACAAAATTGAAGGCACAAGCGAAGTAATTTTATTGGTGTGAAGCGAGTGTCAGGAGAAAAACCCTGATCAATCACCGACTGGTGGGACTCCCGACTTCAATGCCAGTTCAACATAGTGCCATGCGACCTTGAGATTCGTTTGATGTACACCAAAGGATCAAACTAGTCTTTTCCACGAGGTGTCACGCATTCGATTCTGCCATGACATGTGTCAGTGGTGCAGAGAGTGTGACCGTAGCCAGTATAACCTTTATACAAATTAGTCATCAAGGAAGTCTGTCAACTTGCTCATACTTATCATTCAAACCATCAGGCTATCACAACACGACTTGTGGCCAGTCGTTCCCAAGGTCGTGTTAATACTGAAATTTCACAGTAAATGAATATTGAGACAAAAAATCATGTTCCCTGTATTATTTCTTTATGTGTCAATATGCTGTTTTCTGTACAAGACATAAAATTACTTCCGTGATGAAGGCGCTTTAGCTGGCTTCAACTACATTTGCATATATATATACCCGAAGGACGAGTGTGATATATCCATACATTACGAGTGTCAATTATGTATCTGTTTTATCCAATGACCACCGAGGTTTTCTCATCCACGTGCCAAGGGGCGGAGCTAGAACCTATTAGTGTCATGTGACAAGTCGATGATTTTCCCGCTATTTTCTTACCCATCCCATTTTCTGTCACAGTAATAATTCATTTCGTTAGTAGATGTCAGAGACGTCGGAGCTGGACAACGTACATGTATGAATAGACTTTAGAAACATCTACGCCTGTGTTTTCGGCGATCTCGATGATATAACATTATCACAGACCGTCGACAAGTATGTGAACTTTTATTCAATGTAGGGTTATGCAGTGTTCAGATGCTGATCTCTGCTCTCGCGTAAGTAACGCGTTGTACTTTTTTTTTTACCAGAACTGTTTAAATGTGTTAACTAAGGTCAAAACGAGAAATATCAATTTATCAAAATCTCTCTCGTTTTTTTATGTATTAAAGATTTGTTCGAAATCTTTCCTATGTCTTTGTTTATCTGTCTCGCCAGCTTGGAAATGGGCACCACCTCCCTAATGAGAAGTGGACCAATCACATATGTGATATCTAAAATATCGCATGGTATGGGATTTATCACCAGGAAAAGATCAAAGAAAAACCAAGGCGTCATTGGATAAATTGCATAATACAGAATATAAAGATACAGAGAAATAAATACCTGACTCTGAATAACGTGCCATTTACGTAACTTTAGAAAGATCAAATTGTCATCTTTCGTCATGTGATCTCGTAAAAATTAGAAAAAATCCTTTCTTTATTTTTTTAACTTGGCGTGTACCAAAGCGAATTTCACCTTAATTATGACAGTCTTGTGTTGATATCGTAATGCTCACCTGTTTTGAAGCTCATACGAAGATGACTTGATTCAGGGACGTATAAAACCCCTCTACTCCCTACCCTCTACCTCTCTACACCCTACCCTCCACCGTCTACCCCTCTACCCCTCTACTCCCTACTCTCTACCCCTCTACGCCCTACTCACTACCCTTTACCCCTCTACTCCCTACCCTCTACTCCCAACCCTCTACCCCTCTACTCCCTACCCTCTACTCCTCTACTCCCTACTCACTACCCTCTACCTCTCTACTCCCTACCCTCTACCTCTCTACCCCTCTACTCCCTACCCTCCACCGTCTACTCCCTACTCTCTACTCCCTACCCTCTACCCTTCTACTCCCTACCCTCTTCTCTTCTACTCCCTACCCCTCTACTTCCTACCCTCCACCGTCTACCCCTCTACTCTACTCCCTACCCTCTTCTCTACTCTCTACCTACTAGTCCTCTACGCCCTACTCTCCAACCTCTACTCCCTACTCTCAAACCACTATCCCTCTACTCCCTATTCTCTGCTCACTACTCTCTACCTTCTACTCCCTACTCTCTACCTTCTACTCCTTACTCTCTACCTTCTACTCCTTACTCTCTATCTACTCTCTACCTCTACCCCCTATTCTCCAACCTCTACTTTTCTACTCCCTAATCTCTACCTCTACTCCCTACTCTCCAACCTCTACCCCTCTATTTCCTACTCTCCAACCTCTACTCCCTATTCTCTACTCCCTACTATCTACCTTCTACTCCTTACTCTCTATCTACTCTCTACCTCTACCCCCTATTCTCCAACCTCTACTTTTCTACTCCCTAATCTCTACCTCTACTCCCTACTCTCCAACCTCTACCCCTCTATTTCCTTCTCTCCAACCTCTACTCCCTATTCTCCAACCTCTACTCCCTACTCTCTACATCTACCCCTGTACTCCCTACTCCTGTACTCCCTACCCTCTACTCCTTTACTCCCTAACTCTACCCTCTACTTCTCTTCTCCCTACCTCTACTCCATACTCTCCAACTTCTTACCCTCTACACACTTCTCTACTCTCTACCCTCTTCCCGTCTACTATCTACCTCTACCCTCTTATCCTCTACTCCCTACTGTCTACCCCTAACTCTCTACTCCCTACCG